ACCGCAAATAATTTTGAGAAAAATAACTCATTCATTTCGAGATAATTCATTTATATGTAAAAAAAAAACATTTTTCCTATAAAAACGTATTCAATAGTAAAAAAATTCCAAATTGGGGGCAATGCACCTAGTGGATAATAAATTACCAAATGGACTACCTATTGCAACCGTGAAATGGAACAGCTGCTTCGAACATTGCAAGCTTTTGCAAATTTTGCCCTCTCGTTATTTTGTCTCTTTAATAGCGTATGCTCAGAATTTTTGCTGCTAGATAATTTTGTCGGGAGAATACGAAAACACTCCTAGACCCGTTCAATATCTTGCAAGTTTTCATTTGAAATTCGTTCAACAACCCCAAAAATTTGCAAGCGGGCGAATTCGAGAGCGTAACAAACCAATAGAGCTGCAAATTGTTGCAAGTAAAAATTTTACTAGCAGCAATTGACTGGTGTTAAAAAATCAGCCTTGTGTCCATTTCAAACGTAAACAAAGTGTTTAAGAGGAGGATTTAATGAAAGAATGCTAAAAAAATAGTGAAATAAAATAAAATAATTAAAATCTAAGGTAGATTTTTTTTTGTTTTTGTTTTTATGATAATTTCCAACGCGCCAAAACTTAACCATCACAAAGTCAAAATGGTGTAAGTTTCACCTTAATACTAGTTTTGCGTTCAATAGCTGTTTCTGATAATTTTCTTTTCCTCTAAATTTTATTCTATGTTTCTTTTACGCTCTAGTGGCAAGTACTTACTGAAAAAGTTTATGAGCAGCAACTGTGTGTTGATTTTAGCAAGACATTCGTTTTTAATAAATTCCACGTATTTACTTGCATGAGGTAGAAAACGGTGACTATTTTATCCACAAAAATTCAAACTTCCAAGTATGCAGAGTGTGGTATTTCGAAATAATTGTAATGCAGTGCTGTATTTTGACAAAATGGTACCAAAAATTTCTATGTAGTATCAATGTACTTTTGGGGCCCAAAATGTACCAAAAAAGTACAATTGTACCATCAATTTCATCCCTGATTTCCTTTATAAAAGTTACCAAATCACACCTACAAATATCTACATATAATATTTTGACTTTAAAGAACACCGTGCAACAATTTGAGGATCATTGTCTGGGAGCGGAATGATTCCAACTCTGGATGAAAGGCCAAGATCCATATAGTAAAACCTCAAAATCCTTTTACATTATTTGGTCAAATTTCTTTGCTATGGCCATTTTAAATTTGCAATATTTTGCCTAAGTGTCTTTAGAATAAATTAAAAGAGTTAAAATACATATCGAAATATATAGTAAAATTTTACGGCGAGTAATTTTGTACAACATTTTAGCCCGTTATATCCCTCACAAAAGGGTCGTTTTGGCCCTTTTTTTAGAAAGTCTGGATAAAATGGCATTTTGAAGGTCGCTAGGTCTGTAAGTCCACAGAAAATAAAAATATGCCCCTACTTTTTATGCTTTATTTCGTATTTCGTTTATATATATACCTCTTGCCCTTTTCGGGCCTAATGGTTCGGGAAGTGTAAAATCAGCATCGGAATCATCGCTGTGATCAGAATCTGAGTCACACATGATGTCAACGTGTGATTCCAATACTGGCTCTACTAGAGTTTTCAAACTATCGATGGCACTATCGATAGTATCGATAGTTTCAATTTTTTTAGACTATCAATACCCACTGATAGTTTTTATACCCGAGCGCACTTGTGCACAAGGGTATATTAATTTTGTTCACATAACGGTTGTTTGTAACAGCCAAAACGAATCGAGATAGATATAGACAAATGTATACATAAATGATCAGGATAAAAAAAGAAATCGATTAAGCCATGTCTGTCTGTCCGTCCGTCTGTCCGTCTGTCCGTCTGTCCGTGTACACGATAACTCGAGCAAAAATTGAGATATCTCAACGAAATTTGGTATGTAGGTTTCCCTTAATCCAAGGTAGGTTGCTATTGAAAATGGGCGAAATCGGACTGTAACCACGCCCACTTCCCATATAACGGTAATTTCCAGAAATACGAAAACTGCGATATTTTAGTAACTACTGAAGATAAATCACTCAAAATTGGTATTTACAATAATTTTTTGACAAAAAATAATAATATTATTCATTTTTGGAAAATGGGCGTAGCCACGCCCACTTATGGTTACATGTGTATATCTTGGTAACCGCTGTACCAATTTCTACCAAACTTGGCACAGTTGTCGGCCTTCGTACAGCATACAAAATCGCCTAAAATTTTTAAAATCGGACGATAACCACGCCCACATCCCATATAACGGTAATTTAGAGAAATACAAAATCTTCGATAAATCAGTAAATATTGAAGCTAATTTATTCAAAATTGATGCTTGCAACAATTCTTTACCAAGAAATACGTTTGTGATAAATTTTTGGAAAATGGGCGTGGCACCGCCCACTTATGATCACATATATGTATCTCAGTAACCGTTCTACCAATTTGTACCAAACTCGGTGTGGTTATTGTGCTTGCCACATATAAGCAAACCGTTGAAAATTATTGAAATCGGACTAAAATAACGGCCGCTTCTCATATAACGGTAAATTTCAGAACTGCTTGAAACTTCAAAATTTCGAAATCTAAGGACTCTAATTTACTCAAAATTGATACGCCCCGGCTTACCATATAGCCGTAGCTTTCGGTAAGGCGAAAAACATATATTTAATACGTGCGCCGGGTATTTAATGTTCGGCTCTGCCCGAACTTAGGCTTTCTTACTTGTTTCTTATACTATCAAAAATATCGATAGTTTAGTAGGACTATCGATCATCTCTACCAATTATTTTGAAGTTATTTGAATTTTTTAATTTGAATTAAAAATTTTGTTTTTTAGTGTGATGCCGACGTCATATTCAAATATGCACGCATTTAGGGCAAAATGCATCGTGGCGACGAATAACTGTTACCCCGTTTTTTTTAGAAATAAAAGGGTCCTTGATAGATTTTGCGAAAAAAGTATTTTATTGTTAATTTCCACAAATTTTACTGTAGTTGTAGTAATTAGTTATTAAATTTTAATCCTTATTTTCATTTGCCAGCAGTTTAAACTTTGAGAGAAAAGTTCGTTTGGCACGCAAGTCTTTTTCAGGTGTATTTTTTCTTAGGCTTTGTATAAAAAAATACAAGAAAGAAAAAAACTGTATAAGGTTGGTCGAATGAATGGCCGTCCTAGTCACCAGTTCCGAGTCTATTTGATTTATGAGTATGAGGCCTTATGTTGGACAAAAGAGGAAGTATAAGGGACTCAAAATGGAGAAAATCTGCCTATGGCTACAGAAGATATGGAATAAATTAACTGACGAAGACCTGCGTGCCAAATGAACTTTTCTCTCAAAGTTTACACTGCTGGCAAATGTAAATAAGGATTAAAATTTAAAAACTAATTAATACAACTAAAGTTAAATCTGTGGAAAATTAACAATAAAGTACTTTTTTCGCAAAATCTATAAAGGACCCTTTTATTTCTCAAAAAAACCGAGGTAACAGTTATTCGTCGCCACGCTGTACATACATATGTTAATCGTAAATCCTGTTTTGTTTGTATAACTTGTGTTTGTTTTGGAACTTTCTAAAAAGAGAAGTATTTTGGCTAAGCATTTACTTAATTTTGAATGATTATACTTTTATAAGATTTATTTCACTATGATCCTATAAAAACAAAGCAACCTAACTGATTTAGCGCTATCGATAGTGCTATCAAAACTATCGATGGTGTGACTATCGATAGTTTGACACCTCTAGGCTCTACTGCGTCATCTTGAAATTCTTCATGATCACGATCCTCAAACATGTGCTTGTTCCACCAACAAATTTCTGCAAGAATTGCATTCGGTGCTTTTTTTCCTCTATATCTGTATTGTTTTTTCAAATGGAAGAGCCAGTTGATGATAACGCTCGCAGTGATCATCGGACTCAGTGGATACCTGCTTGCTGAAATGAGCCAGATGCTGATGTAGGTTGTGAATTTTCAAGGACATGTACTTTTTGTTACATATGTTTAAAGTACAAAACCGCGTATCGTAATTCTGCAAACCGCGTAACTGACATTGGCTGCCAAAAATTGGATGTGCTTACAAAAGCTCTTGGCTCAATCTTTATCTATTCGTCCTGAAATATACTAGGCAGATATTCGATTGCTTTATAAAAAAGAGGACCATTTTGAAATATG